AAAAGAATATCAAAATTGTTGGATACAGAAGATGACAAAATCAGCCCAGACAAGTGGAGGGCTTGGCACAGATCCCAACCCCAGGGAATGACCTTCTCTTCCCYATGGCAGTTCCTGTGGCCCCAGCAGAGCAGACAGGACCTGGGCTGGCACAGAGCAGGGAGCTCTGACCCGAGACAGCCATGCACTCTTCCTGCCCTCCTTCTCCTCCTCACCACCAGATTCCCATCAAGCCCTGCCTTGCAAACTGCGGGGGCTGGAGGGTAACTGGGTTCAATCRTGACGAGACAGAGGGAAGAGGCAGAAAAGAAGAGGAAGAGCAAAAGGCACTGGGGCTCCCACGCTCCTGGCCAGTGCCACAGCTGTGCCCTGTCCCAGTCGAGGAGGAAGTGTGGRAAATGGGTGATGAGGCAGAGATGTGGTGACAACAGCTTGTGGGAAGTGACAAAGCCCCCCAGATGAGCCCCCAGCAGCTCTGATGCAGCAGAGYCGTCACAGGCCATTCCTGCCCCTGGCACTGGGGTTCAGCCACAAACACCCACGAAAGTTCAGAAGCACAGTTGGGGAGTTGGTCCGTGCCACAGTGGGAACACTGTCATGCCTGGATTTGTCCTCCTGGGTGGCAGCCAGGGCAGTGGGTCTGGTTTCAGCAGGTAAACACAGAGACAGCTCYGGGTGCCAGAGGGAGCTGAGCTGTGGGACAAGAGCTCTGTCCTGGCTTGGGGATGTGGCTGAAAGCAGAGATGTCCCAGAGAAGCTTTGTTATCACCAAGCAGAGCAAATGGAGGTCCTGCCCATCAGCAAGCTGAGGTTGCTCTGGGGAGCTGCAGGATGGCYGTAAGAAATGGAAAACTGAAGAAAATCAGTGATACCAAAGGAAAACAGGAAGGGTGAAGGGCAACGCCAAAGGGTAGAGCTCCGAGGGCTGGACGTAACTCAGTGTGATTTGAGCTGGCCTGGGAAAGGCCAACCCAGCTGCTTTCCAAAATCCCAGCTGTGCTGCATCCCGAGGGATGGATGGATGGATGGATGGATGGATGGATGGATGGATGGATGGATGGATGGATGGATGGAAACCACGCCTGTGCCACAGTGCTCGCTCAGGCGCCCTGCAGACACCCACCCTGGGAAGATGATGACGGGACAGTCGGGCACAGGTGACCTGCATGGGGGACACGCACGGCTCACATGTTAGCCCTGGGGGCATTACCCAGCTTCAGGCATTAAATCTGGACAGGTGAACTCAAAGAGGAGCACAAACACGCTGTGCACCAACTGAGGAGTACAGATCCTCCTGTTCCCCCTGCAGACCCACTGGAGCCTGYGAGCTATGAAGGTGGTGAGGGATTGCTGGGGAGCGGCACCTCAGGGGAACAGGCGCCCTGGAGAGGGAGGGAGGGCTGAGGGTGTTCCAACAAACTGCTGGGAAATGACAACCAGAGGCTGGAATTCAGCTCGCACCAGGTACAGCCAGATCACTTTGTGAAACTCGTGTTTGGCTCGTGGTGGTCCTGGCACTGGACATGAACCCATCCTGCAGCACTGCAGCCCACTCTCGAGTGTGTCACAGAGGGACTGGCTTTGTGGCCATCCCGGGGCCAGCAGCRAGGAAAGGCTTGGCACAGCTGGATAATCCACCTCCCCTGCATGCGTTGCTGCTGTCCAACACAGGACCCACCTCYAGGAACTTTCTTGGGAGCCTCGCCAGGGAAGCTGCCAGCCTTCCTGCCCCCACCGTGCTTGCAGACCCAGTAAACCAGAAGATTTTCGAGAGGGTTTTTTTCTCTCATTTCTTTTAAACAAAAATAGAGACTCTGCCTAAAAACAAAGACAGTTACATAATGCATTTCTCCTGAACCCCCCTAGAAACGGGAGGGGGTGCTTTGCACCAGGACTCCCCAGAGATGATGATTATCAGCTGCTGGACTATCCCTCCAGGCCATGCTGGTTCAGGCTCCGAATTTTTCGGGAACAGCCTCTGGCTCAGGCTGTACGTGAGCTGAGAGCCAGAGCCCGGGACTGGATCCGAGCCCACCAGCACATCCCTCCCGGCACATCCCTCCCGGCACATCCCTGCCGGCACATCCCGCACGGTACATCCCTCCCGGCACATCCCTCCCGGCACATCCCTGCCGGCACATCCCGCACGGTACATCCCTGCCGGCACATCCCTCCCCCTGCCCTGGGACGCCTCCCCTCCACAGCCACCTCTGCCCTGTGGCTGCGACACCGGAGCACACCAAATCTGCCTGGGGGGCCAGGTGGAAAAACAATCTTATTTCCCTTAAGAAGCCACTGCTCCTCCCAAAGGAAAGGCTGCCCATTCCCTGCCCTGCTTGGCCTGGCATGCAGCTGGGGACAAGCCCCCCTTTATGCCGGCTCCAAACCCCAGCACCTTGGGAGCCCCACACTGCACTGAGCCCGTCTTGCTCAGCCCTGGCCCAGCGCCAGAGCTACCTGTTGCAGCCAAACCCCAAACCAAAAGTGGTGCTGTCACCAAGGCAGCCGCTGACCTGGCCCGAACTGCCCGTGCTCCATCCTCCCTCGCCCCAGCCTTACGGACCCTTGTTTGCTACAGGTCTTTTCCTCCCCGCTTTGGAAGTGCTTTTCCATTCCCCCAGATCAGAGGTGTGAGAGGGGCAATTGCTGCACCTGGCATGCCAGGGTGCCCACACACAGCCCCCAAAGCTCCCCACTGGCCCTGTCATCACGGGCATAAACCCCTTTGTCGCCAAGTCCCAGCCCTGCAGGGCCCCTCACAGAGCCCACACCAGCTCCATGCCAGGTTCCCCACCCAGGTGATCCCTTCGGGGGCTGCAGGAGCTCGGCTGAGCGCTGAGCCCGGCCAGCACCCGGGGCGGGAGCGCCGCAGSAGATGGGCAGAGCTCCTCAAGGCTGTTGGCGACTCAGAGCAGACACTGCCCCTTTTCAGGGGTTGTTTATCTGCCTGCACAAGGGACTGAGTCAGGATGTGCGGGCTCTGGAGGGGCTGCAGCCGCCCCGGCACACACCCAGCGGAGCGAACAGCGGCTCTGTGTGTGCGGGACGAGCGGCAGGGACCGGCACGGCAGGGACCGGCACGGCAGGGACCGGCGCGCTTTGAAGCAGCTCCAGCAGCGGGGCGGGGGCGAGGAAAGTCGCAGTCCTGCACTGAACACCTTGGGCAAATGAGGAGTTATTCTGGGCTTCAGCAGTGCAAACACCCTCTTAATGCAACCTTGTCTTAGTGAGGAGAGTAAAAATAACCCCGGTAGTGTGGCTGGCCTGCCATGGGCGGCATTTTCCAGTGCCTGGGCAGACAGATGCCTCCGCGATACAAGGTGGCGAGTGAAGTGGGCACTAAAGCCGGAAACGGGGGAGGTTTCCTCTTGGTGAGGTGCTGGGGCCGAGCCCAGGGCTCCCTGGACAGTCCCTGAGGGACAGCCCTGAGTGGACAGAGCCAGGGGACAGCCCCAGGGGACAGCCAGGCACTTGTCTCCTGCCACTTCTGCCCCAGCTGCCAAAGCAGGGACAGGTACTGTGAGTCGTTCCCGTTCTGTGCTTGGCCAGTAAACCAGACAGAACACAGCCCCAACAGCCTGGCCAGCTCCAGACAGCCCGGCTGGCCCAGTCCCACACATCCCACACACTCTAACACCCCACACATCYCACGCACTCCAACACCCCTTACAGCAACAAACTGCTCGTGCTTCCGAGCCGAAAAATGGCCGTTTCCAATTCCTCCACAGCCGTGACTGTCACACATTAACTCAAGCAAACAATACATCCCGAGCGTGCACCTCCGCTGAGAGTGCATCCAGAGTTCACGCTCCATATGGGAGGAAGAGCGGGCTTGTGCGGGYACAGCCGAACCCAGCGCCCTGCAGCACCAGCCCAGACACACTGGCACTTGTCAACGCCGGTGGCAGAGGCTCCTGAGCCCAGGAAGCAGCCTTGGGAGCAAGGCCAGCTYGGAGCGGGTGACACCAGCTGTGAGCTCCCACGGCCACCAGCCCTCCCCAGCAGCCTGCCAGGGGACAGCAATCCTTGTGGCCCTGATGCCCAGAGAGATGGGCAGCTTGCGGGACTCTCGCCCCTGCTGAGCCCTCCCTGCATCCATGGGAACAACTCGACCCAGTGCTGCCCATCTGGGGTCTGGGAAGAGGAAGAGGCTGTCTTTTTCAGCATCTGTTCTCGAGTTTGAGAGCGTAGGACCCCAGCATGACAGGGGCACACTGACAGGCTGTTCCTGTGCATACCTTTCTGCAGTGAGGTGGCACTGCTGGGGTGAGGAGGGCCCTTCTGGCCCCTGGTGCATCCCCACCACCACCACCTGCACACCCCCAGTCCACACAAAYACACGGTGCAGTAGCACATGAGTCGTTTCCATTAAAACCAGCTGTCCCGAGCTTTCTCTCAGCAAGGATTTGCTGTTCCTGCTCCAACCGCTCTCCCCACCCCCTTAAAGATGGTGATGGAGGAGTGGGGGATCCCCCAGCCATGGCTGCATTGCAGGGCAGCATTTCTGCAAAATGACCATGTGCCCCCCAAGCAGGACACACCGAGAGCCCCCCACACATGTGGGGCTCCTCCTGCTCTCTGTCCCCCAAGTGTGGGGAGGGAGATCGAGCTGCTCCAYGCACTTGGGCAATGGGGTACACCAGGACAGTGGGGTTTCATGAGGGCACAGCCCCATGGGGGCCCTGTTGGGGGATCCTGATGATGGATCCCAGCCATCTCAGAGGACAGCACCACMCACAAGGAGGTTCCATTGCCCACAACAGCCCCGGAGTGACACACCAAGCACCAAACCCGGGAGGGGAAGAGGGTGAGGGGTCTGGGGGAGCAGAAGGGGACCTGTCAGACTGAGGATGGTTCCCAATGRCCAGGCTGCACCACCCTGCACACATCCAAAGGCCAAAAGAGGGCAGTCAGCTCAGGGGTCCACGAGGAACACCCCCCATCCTGGATCTGAGCCTGGGCAGCTTAACTCACACAAAAGAAAACCAGTAACAGAAAAAAGTTATTCCAGAAACTTCTCAAGACTTTGTTGATAACAARCCATGCTGCTGCTAAGGTACCAGTGCGCTCCCAAACCCCAAGATCCCTCGGAGCTGYGGGGTCTCAGCACTCTGTCCCCAATAGGTGGTCTCCAGTGTGTTGGGTGACCCTTGGGACTCAGGGAGGGCTGGGACAGGCCAGGCAGCCCCAGGCAGTTCCATTGGCAAGACCCGGCAGCAGGGACCCCCAGGCAGGAGAGGGATGGCCAGTGCAGGGGCAGGAGCTTCCACGGAACTGTGCTGGTCACTGCTGTGTGCACACTTCCACGTCCCAGAGCAATCAGTGYGGTTTCCAACACATCTGCTGTCCAGCAGCAAAGTTTTCAACACGTTTTCCTTCCAGACTCCTGACTCCCTCTCTCAGCTATGGGAAGGGGATGCGATTCCCGACAAGCGCATCCCACCAGGACTGGGCAGGATGGGGACGCGGCCAGAGGAGGGAGAGAACTTTATAAGGAGAAAACAGTGCCGAGTCCTGGCACTTCGCTGGGAGCCGCGCAGCCCCTCTCCGCCCCCTTGTTCTCCCCTCCTCTTGATCGGCAGCGGGGCCAGCTCCTATCCGAGGGCTGTGGGGTCCCGGGAGATTCCGGGGGGGGGGCAGCCCGGGGGGCTCCGGGACCTGCTGCTTTTCCTTTTTTTTTTTTGTTTTTTAAAAGATGAGTTACCTCTTAATGCCAAATTACAGAAGATTTTTCACTATACATTTGTTTTTATCTTTCGGATTTTTGCGATTTTTTTTCTTTTGCTTTTCCTTTTTTTTTTTTGTGTGTGTGTGTGTGGTTGTTTTCAATAGGTGGGACCTAAAACCGCCGCGTTTCCTGGAAACTTTGTTTTCCCTTTCTTCCCTCCGCCGGCCCGCGGTGGCGGGGGGGCGCGGGGGGCGGGCGGGATAAATGGGACGGGCAGTGGGGCCGGACAGCGGCTGGTGAGGGGCAGCTTCCCCGACATCCGGACCGCGACGAGGAGCGGCATCGGCACCGACAGCGCTGCCRGCGGCACCGGGACAGGTACCGGGACAGCAGCGGCGGCGGCACCGGCAGCACCCGCAGCGCCCAGCGCCGGCACCATGGCCGAAGGTAGGACAGCGGGAGAACCCCCGCAGGTGCCGGGCTCGGTCCCGCTCCCGRTCCCGCTCCTCTCCAAGCCCCGAGCGGCCGCACCCCTGTCCCAGCCGGGGCTCGGTGCCCCCGCTCGCTCGGGGCTGGAGCCGGTCCCTGACCCTCACCGAACTCAAGGGCGATGGGGAACGGGAAAGACTAAAGCGGGACGGCGATAAACGAACCCAGCGGGGTCCGTGCGGGCTCCACGGCGGTCTGTGCGCTTCCCTACCGACTCTGCCCCGGCGCGGGTGTCGCCAGTACCCGTAGAATGAAGTTTGGTGCTATTTAAAGGTTTCCCGGTAGAGGAGAGTGGACAGCTGGGCCAGCAGCGTGTGCCCACGTCTTGACAGGGTGAGGGGATCTCAGGAGGCTCAGGCAGAAATMGAGCTCCTGATCTTCGGGAATCCCGCATGCTTGGCTCTTCAGGGTAGAGACAGCCCCCACCTCCCAGAGAGCTGCCCCCAGAATCCCAGACACGGGTGTGTGTGATTCCCACGGGCAGGCAGCCCTCTGGGTGAGACGGCAGCACTCTGCTCTGCTGTGACAGTGCCGCAGGCTGTCCTGGCTCCCAGCGCTGCTGTAGCAATACCAACGCCAGTCCCTCGGGTCAGACACTGACACAGACACAAAGCTGAGACACTACAGAAACACAGAATTAACCAGGTTGGAAAAGACCTTTGAGAGCATCAAATCCAACCTATGACCTAACACTACCTTATCAGCTAGACCCYGGCACTAAGTGCCACATCCAGTCTTTTTTTAAACGCCTCCCAGGACAGAGGCTCCACTGCCTCCCCGGGCAGCCCATTCCAATGCCTAATCACACTTTCTGTGAAGAATTTTTTCCTAGTGTCCAGCCTAAACTTCCCCTGGCACAGTGATGCCTCTTCTTGTCCCGAGCACACCGGGCAGCTCCTGCTCCTGGGTGCCCCAAACCCTCCAACCACTTGCAGCACCACAGCCCCCTTCCCACCCACCTCTTGGCACCCATCGGTTTGRGTGGAGGCACCTGTGCTTTGAGAAATCTGCTTTTTGCTGAATCTGCCGAGGATGATAACCACAGTGMCTGGGACAAGGAGGAGCCCTGATCCTGTTCTCTGAACGCACTTATTGAGTTTGGCTCCCTGTCAGCCGTGAGATTCCACTTGTACAGTCCGTGTTCCGTAGCACAGGGCTGTGCTGCTCTCAGAGGGGGAGGCAGGGAGGGACAGGGCTTGTCTGGGCTCTGTCCCCACTTCACAGTTCTCATGGACTGGCTGCAGGGTCGTTGCCCTTAGCTATGGACAGCTGGAGCAGCTCTCACATTGTTGTGGGGACAGTGACAATGCCACAGCTCCCGCTGGGCCTATATGGCAGAGTGACCTTGCCCAGAGAGCCAGAGGTGGTGTTTTCATTTAGCTCTGGTGAGCTCATGGGCTGCTGTTTTCATTTGGCATTGGTTCCAGGAGGGCTCGGTGCCTACCAGGGCCGGCACTGGGATGGGCATGGCCMGGGAGAGCCGTGGCATGGGGCAGCAAGCTGAGTATTGCCCACTGATGCACCCAGTCCCTTGCTGGCTCTGAGCTTGCCGTGTGCTCTCCTACACGTAATGCTTTTGTTTATTGTGATTAATGTGTCACTGGCGAGCAGTCAGGGGTCAGTGGCCCCAGGTGATGATGAATGATATCTCACTGCTCCAGCACAGCGCCCAAGGAAGTGSGGACATGGCTGTTGGTGCTTTGGCACAGCAGCCTGCATGTGTTTGGGACATCAGAAACCCTCTGTCACCAAATCTACACATGCTCTCACCAATTGGTCAGCACAGTGAAGCTGCTGGAGACCTGGCTGAGGCACAGGAACATCCCGGGCATTCCTGGGCTCACTCAGCTGCAGTGCTTGGGGTGGGGGCACACAGACAGCAGCCCCACTGAAAGGCCCCCTGAGAGCAGAGCTGAGCGCTGGGCTTTGCTCATGTGCTGGTGCCATGAGACACAGGCCTGGCACTGCTGTGGCAGCACATGTGGTACCATGGAGGCAGCTCCATAGCTCTATGGCACCACACAGCAGAGAGCTGGGCAAAAAGGCGTTGTGAGCTCGGCTGCCAAAGCTGTGCCCCTCGCACAGCACACGAAGGGACCCCAAACCTCAGAGCACTCCTGGAAGGATGCTCAGAGTCTGGCATGGATACAGTGCCCTCCTGGAGAGATGCTCTGCCAGGCACATCCAGGAGCACAGGCAGTGAGGGTGGGGGAGGCTCAGACCCCTCACTGAGATCCCAACCCAGGGCTCGGGATGGGCTCCAGCCACCCGTCCTTCCCAAGGATCAGGGCTGTGTGACAGTGCCGGGCTTAGAGCTGTGTGTGCCACTGCCTTGGCAGATCTGCTGCTGGAGACGTGGGACCTGCACTGCGACCGCAACGGGCGGGAGCACCGCACGGCGGACATGGGCTGCAAGCAGCTGGTGGTGCGGAGGGGACAGCCCTTCACCATCACCCTGCGCTTCTCSGGCCGTCCCTACGAGGAGGGAGTGGACAAACTCGCCTTCAACGTSGAGACGGGTGAGTGCTGCCACGTTYGTGTCGAGAGGGAGGGCTGTGTAAGTGTCACCACCCTCAGGTGTCACCACAGGCTCACCTGTGCTCCCCCAGGGGATGTGTCCCGGCACCTGCCCCGTGTCACACAGTCCCTGTCCCCCACCTGGGAAAGGCTGGTGCTGTGTGCAGCTTTTACATCACAAGAAAAATGGGTAGAAACTCATTTCCCTAATGGGAGTGGAAGTGACAAAGAAATAAAAAGTCACCAGCGTCATCACGTACTCCCCCCTCCTCCTCCCAAGGCCAAGCCAGACTCAGGGCATGCTGGAGCTGCCAGCTCACCAGGAGGTACCTTGGCTGCAGCCAGGACCTTGCCCAGCCCTCTTGCCCTTCTGAGAAGCATCAGCAAAGGGTGTCTTTTCAGCCAGGGGTATCACAGCAATTCTGCTGATGGGCTTCACACCCAGCCCTGCTGCCCCTCAGACATCCCTGGAGCGGGGTTTGCTCAGGAAACACAACACTGGGGAAAGGAAATGTTCCCATGGAGCCCCCCAGCGCAGCCCCCCGAGTTGGGCCAGGGCTGGGCTGTTCCTCTCACAGCCAGGGCTGGATGCAGCCACCGGGCAGGGGCTTGGCCCCGCCAGCTCAGAGCAAAGGGAGGGGAAACTATTTCTCAGGCAAGAGCTATTCTGGGGATGAAGCACCATGCTGAGTCAACCCGGCCAGAATTCAAAGTAAAACTGCACCCAAGTTTCCTCGCAGAGTAAAATTCTCCTTTTTCAACCCCAAAAGCTCTGGTGACAAAACCAAACGCAGCTTCACCCTAAACCAGCAGCTCCACGGGGGCTGTCCACCCACTCGCACCCCCGAGTTTCTCCAGGCGTGCTACACCAGGCAGTCCCTGGATTTTGCAGGGGGAGTAGCCACAGGCACAGCCTCCCAGGCCAAGGACCAGGCTGGCAGAGGCTCCTCTGGGCTGGAGCCCAGCCCCAGCGCTTGCAGAAAGAGGGCAAAGGTGCTTTAGTGCTCGCAGGGACACGTGGCAGTGCCACCCCACCGGCAGCGGCCCCAGCACATTCCTCACCGGGGCCGGACCCGCAGCCCTGGCAAGGCAACGCTGCCAGACCTGTCCCCCCGTCCTGGGACAGCAAAGCCACCAAGAGCATGTGCCACCTCCCACGAGAAAGAGGGAGGGGAGAATAGAGTGAAAATAGAGCTGTTTTTGCAATAGCCGTGTTGGCAGAGCCCTGCTCAGGTGCCCGAGTCCAGGGGGATGTTGTGGGCTGAGGAGGGAGCAGGAGGAGGAGGAGGAGGAGGAGGAGGAACGGGCAGGCTCCTGTGTCCGCCCAGCCCACGGCAGCGCCGGGCTGGCTCTTGCCAAAAGGACACCGTGAGCTCAGCCCATCCTCCCCGAGAGGAGAAATTGTGTCACTCTCATGAGTTCACGAGTATTTTTGGTGACTGGCCTGGCGCCCCGCCCACGCMGTGGGACAGCAGGGGCTGTGCTCCGGCAGGGGACAGTGGCACAGTGGCACCACAGGCTCGGCTGCCGGCCAAGGCTGTGCCCCGGGGAGCTGCGGGGCCGGGCAGAGCTCCGGGGAGCGGCTCTGGAGCTGGCTCCGTGCAGGTGGCTTGGCCCTGGCTGCAGCTTGGAGGGGCCGGCAAGGATCGCAGTGTCCTGGGCTCGGCGMTTTGGCCACTGAGGTCATCTCTAATCCTGGCCAGCTTGCAGCATCGCCTGAGGCTGCACGCTCGTACTGGGGCACACAGTGACAGGGGCTGGGGTCATGGCCGGGCTCTGCCAGCCCCTGTGCCATGGGCTGTGGGTCAGGGACACACAGCTCGGAGCAAAGGCAGCAGTGGGGTGCAGCTGAGAACAGAGAGCTGGCCCTGGGGTGAGCGCCTGGGCAAGCACCTCCCGTGTCTGCTGGCCCAGGGATGCCCACAGGGCGAGTCTGTCCCTTCCCAAACACAGAGACACGCCTGAGCTCCCCACAGCTGCCCTACCCCGTGCCCTCAGTACCCGAYAAACCACACGGTGAATGTTCCCAGGCTGGGACAGCCAAGGTCCAGCAGCTCCCCTTGGTGCAGCCTCCATGGCAGGGGCTCCCGGGGCGAGCTGACCTGCTGCTTCCTGACAGGGCCCTGCCCCAGTGAGACATCAGGAACCAGCTCCCACTTTGTCATGACGGACTGTCCCGAGGAGTCGTGCTGGAGCGCCGTGATGCAGCAGCAGGATGGGGAGGTTCTGTCTGTGTCGCTCTGCTCCCCGCCCGACGCCCGCATCGGCCGCTACAGCATCACCCTGGAGGCCTCCACCGACTACCAGGGCTCCAGCTTCCAAATCGGGGACTTCTTCCTGCTCTTCAACCCCTGGCACCCAGGTGAGGCTTCCACCTCTCTGAGCCCAGGGATTCCAAGGTTCAGGGAAACCTGGGATGCCCCCCAAGCTGGTCTCAATCCACTGCAGATCCCAGGTGTTCCAGGCCCTGSTCCCAGCCCAGGTCTAAGCAGAAATCCTCACTTTGGGCAGCCAGAATCWGCGTGGGAGTTCAGCTCAGTGCTGCAAGGTTTAACAGCCCTGGGATTTTCCTCTCTCCGTGTCCTTCCCCTGCTCCTGGACTGCCTGGTTTCCGGGATCTCAAATGCTCCGTGCTGGCTCTGCAGAGATAAGGGGCTGTAGGAAGCTCTGYTCAACCAGGGCTGTGCCGAGCACTGGGGATGGACGTGTGGGGTTTCCTTCTGCAAACATTTCCAGTAAATGTTGTTTTAATGCGAGTGAAATTACTTGGTCTGGGCTGAACCAGCACACCCACTTCCACTGCTCACTGCAACCCCAGGGAAGGTCTCCCTTTCTGGGAAAAGACCCATCTCCATTAAATAAAAGGGAGGAAAGACAGAAACATGAGGAAGAATGAAAAGCAAACCACAAACCCATTGACATTTTCCCATCAGCCCAAATCAACCTGGGCTGAAATTCCTCAGCAGCTGTTTAAGGCATGAGCAGTTCCAGCCCCTGGTGCCTCATTTCCCACCGGATCCGTGCACAGGGAGGGGGTCAGGAAGCTGCAGTGCAGGGCAGAGCCCTGTCCCMATCACTGGCTGTCCCCACAGAGGACACGGTTTTCATGCGTGACGAGAACGAGCGGCGCGAGTACGTCCTGTCCCAGCACGGGCTCATCTACCAGGGCACCTGTGACTACATCTTCTCCATCCCGTGGAACTTTGGCCAGGTGAGAGGGACCCCTGGCTGACCCAGGACACAGGGACTGGTGCCATGTGTGTGCCTCTGGCAAACATGCACCCCAAATGCTCTCAGCACCTTGGAGGGCAGCCACGGGTCACAGAAACCGGAATCTCATTTCCAAGGGGAAATGCGCTGACTTCAAAGCGTGRCAGGGCAAGGGGAGTGTTTCCATAGCTCCTGGGGCCCCATGGCCACATGTCCCTAATCGGGGTGGCCCTGCTGTGCCAGGAGCTGGTGCTTGATAACAAATTCCYGGGCACCGTGCCAGGGGTGCTGATAAGGCAGCGCCCACACCCCGAGCTGCAGTCCCCAGGGCACAGGGGTTGCTCAGCGTTCCTCCCCGAGCAAAGGGCTGGGGGCCCGCAGGAGTGGGGGTGCCTGTGGCCTCCACAGGATCCGTGCCTCAATTCAAGGAAGGGCTGTGACTCAGCCGTGATGGGAAATGGGTTTTCCCGCAGGTCAGGTCTATGTGCTGAYCCCTGTGTGGTTGCAGGAAGCCGGATCCAGCCCCAGTACGTAGGCAGGAGGTCACCCACGGTCTTCACAGGCAGAGTGGGGACAGGGGGGACATCACTCAGCGGATGCTGGCCAGGGAGGGGACCCTGAGGATGTGTGACTGCCTGTGTCCCTCAATTCTGCTGGCAGGGGCATCACAGTGAGCCAGAGAGGGAGGACAGAAGGTGGCAGAGCCTCAGCGGGGACCTCACACAACCTTTTGTCCCTTCTCTCCACCAGTTTGAGGATGACATCTTAGCCATCTGCCTCAACATGCTGGACATAAACCCCAAACATCTGCGGGATCAGAACCGGGACTGCTCGCGCCGCAATGACCCTGTGTACATTGGCAGGGTGGTGAGCGCCATGGTGAGTCCGGGGTGCAGCCTGCAGGCTGTCCCCACCACCCCACATTCCCTGGGCTGCAAACMCCCCCAGCCACAGCTGTGACAGACAAGGTGGCATTTGCCATCTGCCCCARTTACACCCTTCTTCTCCTCTGGGGTGTTTTCTCTCCTTTCCTTTTATTGMTCCTTTTWAGRGGATTTTAAGAGWGATGAATAGGAGGGGTGGGCRCAGACCATCCCAGGAGCAGSKWTGGGATWATCACCCCCAAATTCCCAGGCAGGAGGACATTTTTCTAAAATTCATCCCTAATTAGCACCATGTCCACTCACATGCCAGCGAGCTCTTGCATGGGCACAGGGTGCTAATGTGGGTGACAGCACGTGAGACTAGGCAAGGGCTCTTCCCCTCCCTCCCCAGCCTGCTCCTGCCCCTCCAGCCYTCCATCCAWCCCCTTTTCTCCTGCCACAGGTGAACTGTAATGATGAGGACCAGGGGGTGCTCTTTGGGCGGTGGGACAATCGCTACGATGACGGGATGAGCCCCATGGCCTGGATTGGGAGCGTGGATATTCTCAAGAGGTGGAAGAAGTTTGGGTGCCAGCCAGTCAAGTACGGCCAGTGCTGGGTGTTTGCTGCTGTGGCGTGCACTGGTGAGAGCAGACGTCTCTGGTGTCCCCTTCCCCACTGGACAGCGTCACCCATCTCCCCCCAAATCCCACTCTGGCCCCTGCCCACTGTCCACTCCTGGTGCTGTGTCCAGAGGGAAGAGCTGGGGCTGGCTGCAATCAGCCTGCAATGATTCCTTTGCAATTAGGTCTCTCTTACTCTAATTTGTTAAGAAATAGAGGGAAAAAATTATAGAAAAYGGCTCTGTTTTTTCAATCAGCACTGCCTCCCTGGCTGGGCAGCAAGGGAGAGACTGGGGCAGGATGAGGTGAGGGAAGTGGCTTTAAGGCCAAGTTTGCAATAAAATCACGAATGCACTAAGATCAAAATAATGTCATGGCCACCAGGGCAGCCAGGCTGGGGRAAAAAGAACAATTCCAACTGGCTGCTGCTGGGAAAATCTCACATATGCTCGTGCAGCTTCGCCCCAAGAAAAACGCTGCCTGTGAGCGCATTGATGTGTCACAGACAGACGAGACCCTTTTTAGAAGAGAGAAATAGCAGGAAACTAAAGTGGATTTTCAGCGACTCGCGGAGGTTTATAGCCTTCCTTTGAAGCGCTGTAACTGCCTCCCCGCTCCCCRGGGAGCTCCCTGCGCAGCGAGACAGCTGGGAGATGAAATCCGGGGTTCAGCACGGCTGCCCGCGTTCTACCTCCAAAGCTCTTGCAGATGCTTTCTGTGCCTTTTTTCTGCTGCAATATCAAACCCATCAGGCTGTCAGAGCCAGGTGCCACCCAACTCGCCCGTGCACAGCGGCTGCGGGAATCAGCTCCTCCTGGGGATCAGTCCCCAAGCACCCCTTTGGAAGGCAGAGGGAAGGGCAG